GCGGTCATTTGCCTTTTGGAATTTTCAATGATGGTACCAAATAGTTTAGGTCTTCAGAAGGTTACAATCATCTTTCGTGCACACTAGTCTTCCCTACCATCTATCGAAAAACAACCTTGTTTTTAACGCACCGCCTATTCTTCACTCGGATTTGGCTAAGATTTATACAGATTTACGTTTTCTCAAAAACCAAATGCTAGACAATGATGCACATAGTCCTCCTCAACAGCTTCCTTCATCATGATTCTTGAAAACCAACAATCTGTTTTGAAAACGTTTTCTGTTTACTATAATTCGTATAGTAGCTTACAACAATTCTTTCAATTATTTTTGTAGTCTTTCTTTATTATTACTTTTTCACCGTCAGGATTTTCTTGCATTTTATATTCTTTATTTGTAAACAAATGTGCTGCTCAAAAGATTCTCGTCTCCGCAATATACCATCTGCTCCTCATCAAAGTACAAATCGCCTAGAAATGGGATACGAGGAAATAAACTCAAAGTACGAATCACACCATGAATCTGGTGTGATGGAATACGTTGCTGTAGATGAAACGCCTGTTGGTCAATCCGAAAAGTAGCGCCTCTAAATTACGCATATCCTCAAATTTTCTCAAAGCTAAGCATATGGTAGCTTCTGTGCGATCACGAACTTCAAATAGTATTTTTGTACCTATAAAAATCAATAATCCTTCCACTTTCGCACTTTGACGCGGGCTCTTCTTTAACTATCGTTTCCAAAAGATTGCAAATCATATTCGCGCACATATCATTCCAACTAGCTGCTGGTGCGCGTTGTTTCTAGGGCAAATAAGATGCATCATCGATGTTACCAATACTCCCATAGAGCTTATGGTTTTGGTAGTCAACAACGATCATTGTTCTGCTGACTTTTTACAAGGTAATGACGTGATGAATTAAATAGCAACCAACATTACTATTGACTATAAATCCAAAACCATACATTTTGACCACCACAAAATTCCCATATTTGATCCAAATTATCCAAATGCTAATCCTCTTCACCTTCCAATTCACCTCATGTCTGAAGTCACTCTACAACCATCTTCTGACAACGTAATATTCGCTTCCACAAAGCATATTCTTCCGCGAAACTGGGAATTTTTGACTTGCGATGATCCTTGCATTCCACTACCATTTGGTGTCTGCGTAGGTAAAACTCTTTCGTCACCCGGTCATCAAGGATTTATCGTCTTGCGCATTTTCAATTCATCTCCTTCGTCTGTTACTCTACACAAAAACAAGTTAATTTCTAATTCCGAATTTGTTGGCTCTCAGATGTACTGGCCGCCAGTGTTTTCGGTGGATCAAAATGCGCAAAATCACGTTATTCCGAGTTATAAAGAAGCTGCACATTACATTCCCGCTGAAGTATCTCTCAAATTTTGCCATCTTTTCCCCCGAACAAAATTACGCATCCTCCCACTAAACGCATCAAAGTTAATTATTCAATTCTCAGCAACAACCAAGTAAGCCGGGTTTATCATCTTTTACAAAACATTCTAAAGCATTCTAAAGCACATTCATTCCTGAATATATACTAAAACATTCTGGAGCTTTTGTTGGTAATGACGGTAATTTAGGTAGGTACACAGGCTCTATCACTCACCAAATTAATTTTGTGCCGCATGCAAAATTCCCGCAACAAAAATTCTACCGTGCTCCCTTGGAAAAACGACGCGAAATTGAAAGACTGATTGAAGAAATGCTTAGAACTAGGTTGTTAGAGCCGAGTAATAGCAAGTTCGCCTCACCCATTGTTCTAATTAAAAAGAGTTCGGGCAAAGATTAGCGGAGATTTACAGCAGGCTACAGGCGGATAAATGCTATTACAGAGAAAGAAACGTCTGTATCCCTCATATACAGGATATTTTAGACCTGGCAAGTGTAAATCTGTCTATTCTAACTTAGACTTCAAAAGTGGTTTTTTAATACCTCTCGAGAAGAAACATCATCGCTTTTTCTTGTTTCTTGGCCTGTTTCATTTTACGGTTATGGCGCAAGGTCTAAAAGGACCTCCTGGAACATTTCAGCGCGTAGCTAACGAACTCATACGTGGACTCAAGGCTATCGACGACATCATAACAGCGAGTCACAGCGTTGCACAGCATTTTCAGGACACCAGGATAGAAAACTTCCGAATGAGACTTACTCCCGAAAAATGCTCTTTCTTTCAAACGGTCAGCTACTTAGGTGTCCTCATAAGTAAAAAGGTACGCGGCTCTATCGTGACAAAGTTGCAAGCATAGCAAAAATTCCGCGACCTACA